ATAACATATTATACAAAAATGTAATCCTAAAAAATGAGTAATTTTTTTGTATATATTTATTTTATGTGAAGTATGTTTTTTATGTATTTAAAAAATACGTTTTCATATAATACGTTATTACGTTGTTAAATTTCCTAAAATATATTTTTATGTTATCTTAACATCTTTAGTTGATTTAAAACGAATATTCAAGTATTTTTTTTAAGTTATGTTTTTATGTAAAAAAATATTTGTAGTTTTGCTTTAAACCAATTAAAGACGTTATCATAAAGTAAAAGTATATTATAAGATTATAACAACATAATAACGTATTATACAAAAACGTATTTTTTAAATACATAAAAAAAAATTATTTTACGTAAAATAAAGACAAAACTGAAAATTTAGTCCTTATGGTTTATAAAAATCTTTGGATAGGATCCAAAAATTTTTTAACTTGCATGGCAAGTCCAAAATCAAAACATTTCCACGATTTTAGTCCAAAAAAACCTGAAAAGACGATTATGCCCTTTTATTTTCTTTTTTGTATTTTATATATTTATTTAATACCTTTGTTAATTAAAAAATAAAGAAAAATGAAAAAATTATCCCCCACCCAACCCATCTCTCTCTCTCTCTCTCATCTGGGTTTGTCATTGTTAACACCCAAGAATATCTTTATAGTCAAGAACAAACATCTTGATTAACAAATACACACATCAGTTTTCTGATTTTATTCTCCAAAACACACAAACATTCAAATACACTTTCAACATGGAAGGTAAAATTAACCACTATCGTTCGCCACTGTCACTACCGACTATCATCAACGTCCGCCATCCTTCTCGCTTTGTCTGCCTAACGTCTTCTTCTCCCATTCTATCTCTCTGTACTTTGCCAAGTACACCTTCAAATCAATTGATGCTTCTCAAATTCATCCAAATCAAAATACAGAGAATGTTAAATCTGCCTCAAACGAAAGTGTTTCTGGGTTTGTTGGTTGAATTACATTTGCTTCGATGAGAAAACACGAACCTCCATCCATCAAGCACAATGTTCCTCCATAGAATTGGGCATGAAAACCCTGAAATTCGACCTTTAAAACCCAGAAAATACACATTTAAAGATATTCATGTTCATCATCTGAAATTGGACCTTGAAACCCATGAAATAGGACCTTTACACCCTTAAAATCGGAACTTGAAAACCCTAAAATTGGAATATATAAAATCAAATTGTTAGTCTTACCTTCATCAGATGGGAACGTGTGTACAAAGGAAGACGCAGATGCTCAGGAGTTGGGTTATGCTCTTCGACAATAATTCATTGATTAGTTGTCACGGGGAAAAGAAAATGGCAGAAGGGGCAGGTTTAGTGTGGTGATGGTTGAAGGCGGCATCGATATCAAAAATTATTTGGGGATAAGATGGAGAACAGGGGAGAAGCTACAGAGGGATGAAATGGACATGAGGTGATAATCGGTGGTAGTTGTGGTGTTGTCGGAAAAATAGAGGTGTATATGAATGGAGATGTTGAGGAATGGGGTTGAGACCAAATTCGATTGGGAAGAGAGAGAGAGAGAGAGAGAGAGAGAGAGAGAGAGAGAGAGAGAGAGAGAGCATTTTTTATTTTCAATTAAAGTATGAAAATAAATATGGAAAAATACAAAAAAAAAAAAATTAGAAGGGCAAAACGGTCCTTTCAAGTGCTTCATGGACCAAATTCACAGGAAATTCATGATTTTGGGACCATATTCACTGGAAATTTCTGATTTTGGACCATCCATGCAAGTTGAAAACTTTTTGGACCCTATCCAAAGTTTTTTGAATACCACGGAGACCAATTTTGCAGTTTTGTCTAAAATAAATACGTAAAAAAAACATATAAACTCATTTTAAAATTCATTTTTTCTTCAATACGTAAAAGTACAATTTGTTTATTAAAAAAATATATAATTTTTTTTATTTATTTTGTTATTTATCTATTTTTTTGTGATTTTAGGTAATATAATTTATTTTTCAGAAATATAATCCAAGTTTGGATGCAACTTAGTGGTATAAGGCGTATGTAGATTTGGTATTAGGGAAGGAGGTCCCAAGTTCGAGTCATCCAGCGTTGATTTAAATTATTTTTAGACGACAGACGAAAATACCCTTATGAATTCAGTTCCTAACGGATGAATACTAACGACGTTAGTAAAAAGGGCATCTGTGCAAGTTTTTCAAACCACAACGACCATTTATATAAAAAAAAATAATAAAGACTAACTTTGTGACTTTTGGCAAACAATAGGGACCATTTTTGTAAATTTATCTTTTTTATTACTTTTCTATTTTTTTTTTTAATTTTTTATTATTATTTTTTGTTTTTTTTCTTTTGTCTTTAAATACTTTTACTACATAGTTGAAGATAGGTGAAAATACTAGTGTTTTTCTTTATTTTTGTTTTTATTTTATGATTTATTTTTTATTTTTTAAATTAAATATCGGTTTGAGTTTTTAATGTTTAACAATTATAAAATTTTAAATAAGAAGAATATTAAAGATCATAAAAATTTTCGTTCTATTTTTTCTTAATCATATTATTTTTAGATCCTAAAATTTTACATTAAATTATTTTGAATAATACTATTTTGAATCATATGATTTTGAATCAATAATATATTCAATTAAATATAATTTTTTGTTCAAAGAAAAATTATGGATCATTATATATTTTGATTTTTTTAAATTTTGAATCATATAAAATATAATTAATGATTATACAATATTTGATCCTAAGTTTTTTTAGATCATAAAAAAAAATTAAAGATTATAAACAAGTTGAATTAAAAGTTTTGTGACTCATAAATATCTTGTATCATCACATTTTGGATCATTTGCGGTATATAAGCAAATAGCACTACCCCCTTCTTCTATTATCATATTATGTAAAATAACACAAGCAGTCAACACCGTCCTTAATTTTTCTCTATCCCATTTTCGTGCTGGATGTTTGATTATGTGTCACTTTTGTTTGAAGACTCCAAACGTCCGTTCTACATTCTTCCTTGCAGATTCTTGTGCCAACTTGAACATTTTTCGTTTATCGTCGACTGGAAATGTGTATGACTTGAAAAATGTAGCGTATTCTGGATATATCCCATTACCTAGGTAATACCCATATTTGTATTCATTTTCATTGACAACATATGGCATTTATTTTGCTTTACCATGTAACATATCGTTAAATATCGGAGACGCTTGGAGCACATTCATGTCATTGTTTGACCCAACCATACCAAAGAATGCATGCCAAAACCATAGGTCATTTGAAACAACCGCCTCCAAAATAACAGTCGGCACCCCATGATCACTTAGCGTGAACTCGCCACGCCACGCGTTAGGGTAATTTGCCCACTCCCAATATATACAATCAATGATATCAAGCATCCCTGGAAAGTCATGCTTAGCTTGATGTGCGATATACAATTGTTCGACATCGCTTTTAGTCGAATGTCGCACGTATATGTCACGATAAAGCTCTATGACATACTCACAAAATAGATATGTATACTTTGGGCCCATCCTTTCAGACATTTTCAGAGAATCATCTGATGCGTCTGCAGCGATGACGTATGCCTATTGTCTAAGAGTGGTCGTACATTTTTGTATCGTAGTAAAATCGCGTTTACCTCTAGCATCCCACCGTAATTGGAAAAATTCATAATTACGTGCCAAATCTCTAGCTATACATAAAAATAAATTTTTGCTAATACGAAAACTTTTTTTCGAATTTCGATAGATCATATAAATTATCAACGGAAAAACAATCACATACCAAAAGTTCATGTGCCGCCTCATGATCCCGGTTGATCCATTTTCTATACTTCTTCTCGGCGTTTGAACTTTCGCCCCTCTCACGTATCATATCTTCTGCCGAGGACAACAACGTATACAAAATCAAATCTTCATCAGAATCGTTATCATCGGATGACAAAGCAAGCTGAGGTGGAAAATTATCCATTTCTTGGTTTAATGTGTGTGTTAGTTTTGAAAAAATGTGAGTGTGGTTTAATGGAATTTATATGAAAAATGAACGTATATATAGGAGAGAATTTGAAAAAGTAATAAAAAGTTTTTTTTATTTAATAGTCAAACGGTCCGAAATAAGTATATATAACGTTCGAAATTGAATTGGCCAATCAAAGATCTCGTCTTCACCCGCCTTCCGCCTCACGCCACACGCAATCCACCGGACTTGGAGGCGGTGGTCACGCGTGGAGAGGCATGCCACCTTAGTCCAAGACGCGTGACATTACCCCCATACCGCCTAAGAATGAAAAAAATGTTTAGTTACAAATTTAAACCTCATATTTTATGAATGGTACTTGCATTTTTTACATATTTTTCAGAATTACCCATTCAGATCTTATCACTTGATTATTTTTTCAGAAAATATCTTAACCTTCAATTTTTTCAAACTAGCGTTAATAGGTTGTCATCGTAGTTTTCTCAGTTTTAGAGTATTCATTAGTTTATATATATATATATATATATATATATATATATATATATATATATATATAGGGTTAGGTTAATGTGAGACGGTTTAATTTTGTGAGACCGTGAAACGCATTTTTTTATTATTTTTTATTTTATTTTTATTTTTTTTAGTTAATTCAAGTTCCGAAAATAATATTTAAAAAAAGAATGTTTTGATTTTTCCATTTATTTTGCATTTTAAAATTATTTTTAGAATATGTACAGTGTAATATTCTATTTAGAATATTTCACGTATTTTTAAAAAAAAAATAGGATTTTTTTTATTTTTTTTTAGTTAACTCAAGTTCCGAAAATAATATTTAAAAAAAGAATTTTTATATTTTTCTATTTATTTTGCATTTTAAAATTATTTTTTAGAATATATCAGTGTTATATTCTATTTAGAATATTTCACGTATTTTTGAAAAAAAAAACGGGATTTTATTTATTTATTTATTTTTTAGTTAATTCAAGTTCCGAAAATAATATTTAAAAAAAGAATTTTTGGATTTTTCTATTTATTTTGCATTTTAAAATTATTTTTAAATTTGGTATCACAGTCTCACAAAATTAGAATGGTCTCAATTGAACCTGAATATATATATATATATATATATATATATATATATATATATATATATATATATATATATATATATATATATATATATATATATATATATATGGATAAAGTTTAAGAACCTTGCATGATTGCAATGAAAATTTAATGCAAAATGACCTAGTTTGATGAGGTTAGGTACCTAAGCTTATATAAGGTTGTTAGGTATATTCACTTTACCCTATATATATATATATATATATATATATATATATATATATATATATATATATATATATATATATATATATATATATATATATATATATATATATATATATATATATATATATATATATATATATATATATATATATATATATGAAAATGGAGTGAATATTTTGTATGTAGCTCGAGGAGATGCTTCTTCCAGTATAACGAATAAGCAAAAAGACGCAACAACAGTAGGATTGCTGGAAGGAAACGGAGAGTTCACCCTAGTTTACGAGGATAATGAAGGAGATAGAATTCTTGTTGGCGATGTTCCTTGGGAGTAAGAATAGTTGTTTTTTTTTTGGCTTTTATTTAACCTTTTAATGTGACTTGCGGCCTAGAAATGATTTACTAATATGATCGATAAACATTTTTGTGCAGCATGTTTATATGTTCGGCAAAGAGGCTTCGTGTGTTGAAAACAAGTGAATTGTCTGCTTTCCATCTATAGAAGGATAGATCACAAGTAATCAACAAAACATCAATCTATTAATATATTATTCAGTTTTGTCAGATTAAAAAATTGTTAAAAAATGGTTTATATAGTTAAAGTTCTCATTTTTGTCGAAAAATCGAAACAAAATAGTGCTAGTTAATGTGTTAATGTGTATTCGAGTTGTTGATATTTGCCCTTATTTAGTTGCATGTAAATGGGAGGGCATGTCAAGTCTTAAAATGAAATGTTTTGTTCAAACTTATTGTTCCTATCATCGTGAGCCACTTTAGTTTGACAAATTTCCAAAAATAATGAAAACCAAACTCAAGATTCAAAAACACCCAAAATAATCGGATTTTCAAAAAAACTAAATTACTGAATTGTTCTTATGGTTCGGTTAATCTGCACGTTTGGTACCTGAATTCTTTTTGTTAACTCAGACGGTCCTTAAAATGTAATTTTGTTGTGCATTTGGCGTCTATCATATCTAAAAAGACACCCAAAAAGACTGTATTGCGATTTTTGTACCTTTTTCATTTGTTGATTATTTATTAAAAACAAACAAGTCTCACCCCTTACTCATGCTCGATTACCATCATCTCTCTCTCTCTCTCTCTCACACACACACACACACAATCCTAAATCAAGACTCTACTGCAATCACTCACCACTCACACTCACCGAACCTCTGTCAATCACTGCTTCGTCTTCCATTGACCGACATCGACGAATCTTACACGCCACTTTCTCCGACTGACACCAAACGACAATCTAAACTCTAAAGCTTACGTAACACACCGATCTAATTCAATTGTATAAGGGTCATGGTTTGAAAGGAAAAAAGAGGGGTGAATTGGGTATTCGTCATCCATAGATTTCTTCCACCCATCGTTGCAACCAGTCTTTTCGAATTTGCAGTCAACTCGCCTAAAAAACGCATAGAGCTAAGGTTTGGTGTGCAGGAGCGACCTTCCCTTTCCCCGATCTCGCTGGCCTTTGTTTGTAGTGACAAAGATGTCTTAATCTCGCAGCCCCTATTCCAATTCCATGTCTCCACAACTCATTTGTGCTAACCTTGGGTTATCCGGAAATACACACAATCAGTTAGAAAGGGAAAGGAGCTAATTTTGGTTATCAGGTGTTCGTCTTTAACTGTCGTCTACAGAAATTCACATTCTCTTATTCTGATTTTTCTCTCCTCCTCCACTAGAATCGAATTTAACTAAGCAAAAAGAACACCATCTAATATATCTAGTAGAGTTTTAGGCTTGATTTTGGTTTCAAGTGAGATTTCAAGGTATGATTTTGGTTGTAGCTTTTGATTTGGTTCTATTTGTAGGATTGGATTTGTTTTGGTTTTAGTTTTTGTTTACAAGGTTTGATTTTGTTTTGGTTTCAAATTATTTGGTTGCCAGAATGGATGTAGTTACCAAAATGGGTTGATTGTAGTGGTCGAAATGGAATGTTGTGATGGCAAGAGTGGACTAATGGTGGTTTCTAGAGATGATAGTGATACATGGTATATGAGCGTAAAGAGAAAAAGACTATAATTTTGTTTTTAATAAATAATTAAGAAGAAAAAAAATTAAAATTTTTGAAAAGAAATAAAAAAGCAATATAATAGTTTTAGGTCTGGTAGGGACCAAATGCACAACAAAATTACATTTTAGGTACCGTCCGAGTTAAGAAAAAAACTAGGAACCAAGCATGCAGATTACACAAAATCACAAGGACCATTCATGCAATTTACTCATCATCTAATTTGTAGAGGGAATTCTTCAAGGACTTGCCTATTTGCTTTTGCGAACTAATCAAATACATAAACCTTAAAATTTTCATTTCCCTTTTTTCTCCTTATTTTCTTTCTTTTAACGAATTTTAAAAAGACTATAACAACCCAAAATTCAAGTAAGCCTTATGACCCTTCTACTTTAAGAGTTGGCAAGATGAGTCCCTTCAAGTTATATGTTGGATTTGTGAGTACGCTGGGCGTAAAGAAGCGTATGTCGCGCGTAATCACACGCTTATTTTGCACGCGGACTCGCCCGGGTACGCTGTGCGTACTCAGGGTTATGCTGGGCGTGATGTGTCTAGATGCAAACCCTAAATTCTGGCTTGTGCACTATAAAAGGAACGTCTAGTCCCTTTCCCCAGCCACCATAGCCCCTTGAGTAACCCCTTAGAGTGCATAAATTCGTGTATAAGCTTGTATGTGTGTTCTTGAGCTTGAAGGTACCTTTTTGAGGTGAAGAAGGAGAAGAGGAAGCCATTGTTGGAGCTAGAAGTGGAAGAGCAAGAGTAGATCCGAGTTCTACAGCGGTTGGAGATCCCTTTTGAGGTAAAAAGCTTCAAGCTTTGCATCTTTTCTGTTCATGCTTTGTAGAGATAAGTTTTAGGGTTTTTGGTCCCCAAGTTCATAGCTTTTTAAGTGGTTGAGCTCTTAGAAGCCAAGATCTGTCCCATGCTAGCTCATTTAGTGTTGTTATGTGATAAAAATCCAGTCTTGGTTGTTAAAAGTTGTTCATGCATGAAATATGGACCTTTTAAGGTTGGAAATAGAGTATTTGGGGTGTTTGTGACTTCCACAACCATGCAAAGGCTTAAAGTCGCCAACTTTATGGATTGAGTTGTGTTAGAGAAATCAGATCTGGATTTTGGATGCAAGACTTAACCGATAAAGACCTGAATGAAGAGGAGGAGAAAGTTGGGAGTTACACTGGGCGTAATCCTAGTACGTGCGGTGTAAGGGGCCGCGTACCCCGATTATGTGAAGCCATCGGGTATGCTTAGCGTATAGATCTGGTACGCGACGCGTACCCTAAAAGGTTGACTTTTGTTGACTTTTAGGGTTTAGTCAACTTTAGAGTATTTGAGCCTTGAGAGGGGTAAAATGGTCTTTTACCCTCTTGAGAGTGCTAAGAGAAGGAATGGTCTAGCCTTGGGAAATGTGTTGATGCCGAGTGTTTATTTTGTATGATTAGGCGAAGGCTGGATCTTGTTTTCACGGAGTCCGAGATTTCCGAGTTACTGAGTTACACGAGGTGAGCCTTCTCACTATACATTACCTAGAGTGGTATTATGAGTTGACCGGAAGGTCTTATGTGCTATGTATGAGATTATGTGCCATGTATGAGATTATATGTTATGTGATGTATGTATGATATACAGTTGTATAGACCGGACCGAAGGGTCCAACGAGACAGACTGGGCCGGAGGGCCCAACGAGCTATGACTGAACCAGAGGGTCCAACGAGTTACGGGACCGGAGGGTCCCCCTGAGACACATCGACCGGAGGGTCATACAGTAGCCTTGAGTGGTGTATGTGTTGTATGTGGTATTTTGGGGAGCTCACTAAGCATTTATGCTTACAGTAGTTGTGTTATGTGTTTCAAGTACTAGCGAGGACCATGGAAAGGCACCGACGTAACCCGTACACACAGAGAGGAGATTTGATTTTGTGATCTTGGGATATGTTTTGTCTTGATTACTATCATGGAATACTTTTTGAGAACATTTTTATATAATTTTGGTTGTTGAAAAATGAAAATTTTGTTTTGAAAATCTCATCGTTACAAGTTGGTATCACAGCCTTGGTTTGAGGACTCGGATGCACCTTCAGGTTTATCTAAACTCAAACTGAGGATTTGAGAAATTGTCAACAAATAAGAACTGATTTTTTTCTAAAAAGAGCAATAAGTTTTGAAACAACCATAGCGGAGCAGTGTTTACGGTCAGCCAACGCCCGAACGGTGAATCCCCAAAATACCTTTACATTATGTGTTATGAGATATGATATGTTATGTTATGCATGCTAGAGTAGGCTAGGTATTCATATTAGGACTAGAGTGGCCTAATTTGTGATGCCGTAGCCTAGGAGATTACTGCTGCTACGAGATGCCTTGAGAGTGAGTAGGTAGCAGTTAGGAGCTCATGAGAGGTCTATCAGAGGGTAGCCAATGCATAGCGAGAGTAGAGTACTTGCGATCCGGGATCCAAGGAGGAGGACTTGGGGTGAATGCTGATGCGGTGTGGTCAGTAGTATAGGGCTCATACTACTGAAGGCACCGGATCAATGAGCAGTCCAAGTAAGAATCCTTTGGATATTGGAGGACGAGTAGGGTTGCATTATCGAGTGTGAGTATGCTTAGAGATATCATGGTTGGGACACGACACACACCTGGGAGCAGCGATGTCAGCGACGAGGAGATCCATCGATTGATTCATGAGGAGGTTGTTGCTGCCATCCGGGCCGAGATTCCAGAGATGTTCAGGGACATCAAGACCACATTGATTGATACCTTTGACGAGCTGTATGCAACAGTGATTGAGGCTGCGCCTGCTGTTGCTGCTGCCAGACCTCAGGGAGGTGATTCGTTGTTATTTCGGGAGTTCAGCAACACGAAGCCACCGGAGTTCAATGGGACGTAGGACCCGATTGTTGCAATAAGGTGGATCTCTGATATCGAAGGATGTTTCTATACGTGTTCTTGTCCAGAGCACTTGAGGGTACGGTTCGCTCTGAACCAGCTCCGCTTGGGAGCGAAGAATTGGTGGAAGTTTGTGATGGTGAGCTTCACTTTAGCAGAGATTTCTGAGGTGGCCTGGGAGAGGTTCACCTCCATGTTCAGAGACGAGTATGTTCCCCCGGTGGAGAGGGAATGGTTGATTTAGGAGTTCTTGACCCTCAAGTAGGGTATTGATTCTGTTACAGTTGTTACCAGGAAGTTTCATAAGAGGGCGATGTTTTGCACAGAGTAGGTGTCTACCGAGCAGGCTCGCATGAGTCGGTATCTGAGTGTTCTGAGGAGTGATATTCGGGAGTTTGTGGCGAACTCGTCTTACCGGACATTTTCCAAGCTCCAGGAAAATGCCTGGAAGAGGGAGATAGAGCTGGAGACTCAGGCCAGGGAAGAGGCAGAGTCTCAGGGGAAGGATCGGTGGCCGGTACAGTCTTAGCCGGCAGCCAAGCGGGCTAGGCCCGCTGATTCGAGATCTGGGAGCGCAAAGGGACGCACTTGTGGGAAGTGCGGCAAGAGTCATGAGGGATCATGCAGAGCGGGAGTATGCTACAAGTG